ATTCTTCAATCCTATTTGGAACTTTGAATGAAAATACCTGAAAAATCCGGGAATTTTTTAAGGATTCAGTAAACACTCTGACAAAATCTTTTGGATTCTAATTAGATCTAATGTGGCTTTATAATAATTTGACCATTAATTCGTTAATCTCTTGAATCGATTTCCTTTATTTATACGAATGCGGGAGAGTCGCGAGCGAATTATAGAAAAATATATCGCAGCAGATTATATATATTTGCATATATACATTATACAAAGTGATTCTTAATTATATGTTAATACTGCAGAGGATGAAAATTCTTTATTCTTTTAATTAATATTTTATCAATTTTTATTCCGAACTGGAATTCATTTCTGTACTGATGATGGTCAAATCTTGACTGAAATTGTCTACAAATTTTACATTTTAACATATTAATTCGAAATACATTATTTTATCTCTTAAAACATCTTGAGTTGTGGCTATATCATTGTATGTTTGTATTATTAAGTCAAAAAGTTTAAAAATGAATTTATTTCTCTTTAACTAAAATTTGTTCTATCGATCTTTTAATTTTTTTATTAATTAATAAAAGAAATATGTTAAGTCCAAGATTGAAGATTCCATAATTCTTTTCTATCATGAAATATCTAACGTAAGATGTAAACGTAGGTCATATCTTGGAATAGAATAAACGCAATTATAAACAAAACCAGAGTAGTAACATCACTTATTAAATTTACAATTTAATAATTTTTATGCTAATTTTATAAATTCTTGCTTAATCTTTTATATAATTTTCCTGAAAAAAAAAAAGATAAAAAATTACATAAATATACATATTTTAATTATTCGAAATAATAATTATAATGCAAACACGTACGATTTAAAGGCTTTATAAAAAGTTTCCAAATTACAAAGGAAAAAATGTTTGGAAAATAAAATTTGGATGACCTATGTTCAAATACTTCTTTTGCCTCTGAATTCATCCTCTAAAGTAGAGTATACCTAATTACAGAATCACTTTGTGTATCATAAATGTCTTCTAATATATTATAATTCACCGTATTTATTTGTGTTACATATTGGAAATTAGTTATCTAATATATGCACGCATACGCGCTTAATGTATAGTTCTGTTTTACCCTCCCCGGAATATCTATAGAGCGTTTCATGTAATACGGTGCAATTAAGCTAAATTTTCTTTCGAAACTTGTAACGTATGGATACGAACT